GATTAAAAAAATTATACCTGTCCCTCCTCCTTGCCCTTTGAAAGGTCTGAAGCGTGAAAGGCTCCCCTTTCCTTTCACATTCTGCCTTTAATGATTCAGAGAAATGGCCGATGTTATTGATACTGAGAAGTAAAACAAAAGAACAAAACAATTCCATACAATTGCTCCTTAGTAACAGGCAGAAGCTGATGTTATACAACTTGCCTTAAATTACAAAGACACTAGACCAAAGAACATAAACCCAAATACATTTAACAGGAGTCATAAAAATAACAGCACAACCACAACTCTGCCTCTCAAATAAAAGGGCAGTTTGAGATCATTATAATCAACTCACCACATCAGAAGTACACTCATTTCAGGTCTGAGAACCAAAGCCTTTGCTCATTTGACCAGCTATAAAGCCATCCAGCAGCCTTCTAACAAGTATTTGATAAACACCTATCACTTGCTAGGTACCCTATCAGAGGCTGGGAATACAGAAATGTGTTCTGACTAATCGTGACAGTCAGTTTAAGACAATATAGAGCTCAGATGAGAATTACATAGCACTCCCATATAAGGAACCAATATATGTTCTAGGAGGAGGACAGGGAACAGACATCACATACAGAACGAGAGTTACACTAAGACAATAAGGAATACTGGGGAGTGGTGGGGGACTGACAGTGCATAGGGAAGGGGGAACAGAGGGTTCATGGAAAGGACAGCAGAGCAGATGGAGTCAGAGCTTGAAGGGTCATCAGTTCAAGGAGGGAAAACATCACAATTATAATTCAGGACAGGATCAGCAACAGCCTACAGTAAAACAGGGTAGGAAGGACGGATAAAAAGATGAATTGGGTGGGTGGATACAGGAGGAGTCTTGCCATATGGGTGCAGCTGAATACCATGGTGACGGGAGTTAACAGAATTAGCAAAGCTAATTATTAGCTGAAAAATAAAGACAGGATACAGAACATGAAAAATTGGTAAGATTAAAGACACCATACAGCAACAGCAAGAGAATGAACAACAGCACAATTCTCACACTGGATCCACAGGTCTAGGGGTAAAATTCAGGTGGTACTGAATAAAAAACTGTATGTTTATCTTCACTAAGCTCTAAATTAAAATTCAGCATGTTTTATTCATGAATGTAAGTAATAATCATAGTAGGAAGCATTAGTAGTTTCTTTGACTTCGTGACCAATAGAGATCACCAATATTTTCTATCACTTTACTACTGTTACTCTTACCTTGAATTATCATTTATCTTTTTACTATTCAAAATGAGTTATTAGACTGACATATCTTTTTAATACAATAATATAAAAGTACGCTACATCACAAATTGACTGACTGAATGCAGTACCAGAGACTGAACCCAAGGCCTCTGCAATGAGCCATATGCAATGTATCTCTAAAAAAGAAAAAAGAAATGTATCTCCAGCCTTTTGTAAATTTTTATTTTGAGACAGAATTGCACTAAGTCACTAAACTGTCCAGGCTGGGTTGGGCTGGGCTTGACCTTGTAATCTTCTAACTCCAGCCCCCTGGACTGCTGGGATTACAGATGTGTACCACTACACCAGACACAAATTTAACATCTTAATAACTACATTTCAGTATGACTTTCTTTCTAATCTTCAATACTTTTGTAATTTAGAATACTATTCTTGGGGCTGGGGAGATGGCTCAGTGGAATAAGCACTTCCCTGGCAAGCACAAGGGCCTGAGTTCAATCCCCAGTTCCGGAAAACTATTCTGGGACCGGCAAGATAGCTCAGCAGTCTAAAGCACCTGCTTTGGCAAGCTTAGGCAAGCACAGGGACCCAGGTTCCATCCTGGCACCACATGTTGTGCCATCCCCACCCCTAGAGCAGGCTGAGCTGGCCACAAAAAAAAAGAAAAGAAAAAGAAAAAAAAGAGTACTATTCTGAGAAAGTCCACAGGCTTCACCAGGCTACCAAATCTTTATTAGAAGACCATTTAAGGACTCTGGCTTAGAGAGTAGAGTCCTGGGGTTACAAGCTCCAGAGAAAAGTGTTCAGATAAAGAAGAGATAGTTGTAGGTAGAGGGTATACAAATATGTAGTAACAAAGAAAAATCAGGAAGTGTGCAGTCAAGTTATAGGATCCATCAGCCAAGTAGATCCTGAACTGCTCATTACAATCAACTGCAGGATGAGGGACAGAAAAAGACTTGGAGACAGAAAAAAGACTTGACTATGGAGTAAAAGAACTATGATATAGAACAGGAAAAATAGACATCACCAGTCTGACACAAGGAGAGATTTAATACTCAAAAGCTAAGTATTAGTTCACTTCTTTGTTCTTGTGACTCCTTTACAGCTCCCAAAACAGGCCTCTGCCACTTTTTACTCTGCACCTCAAAAGTATCTGCCATCCCAACTCCTCTGTTTCAAAGTAAATAAGGCCTGAACTTTTTTTTTTTTAATGGTGCTAAGGATTGAACCTAGAGTCTTTATTTTATTTTTTTTATTGATAACTTTTTTTAAATTTTTTTTTAATAGTATTAGCTTGAAAATAGTTGGATTTCTTTACTTTTTAAGATGTTTTTCACAAAGATAGCATATTGATAACTTTTTTTAAATTTTTTTTTAATATTTATTTATTTTGTGTGTGTGTGTGTGTGTGTGTGTGTGTGTCCAACTCAGCCCACCAGGGGGCGGGGCTGGCTGGCATGTGGTGCTGGGGGCTTTGCTAAGCTTGTTCCAAGTAGGTGCTTTAGGGGCTGGGGAGATGGCTTAGTGGAATAAGTGCTTTCCTGGCAAGCGCAAAGGCCTGAGTTCAATCCCCGGTTCCGCAAAAAAAAAAAAACAAGTAGGTGCTTTAGACCACTGAGCCATCTCACCAGCCCTCCCTAGCCATTTTTATTTTAAGATAGATCTTATTAAGTTGCTAAGATGCCAATGATGGGTTGCAACCTGTAACCCTCCTACCTCAGCCTCCCTAAATACTAGAATTATAGGTATGTGCCACCATGGCTGGTGAGGCCTAACTTTTTTTTTTTAATTTTTATTTATTTATGGGGGGGGGCAACTCAGCCCACCAGGGGGCAGGGCTGGCTGGCATGTGGTGCTGGGGGATTGAACCGCAGTCCCTGTGCTTTGCTGAGCTTGTTCTAAGTAGGTGCTTTTAGACCACTGAGCCATCTCACCAGCCCCGAGGCCTAACTTTTGACAAATATGTAATTCTTGCTTTCTTACCTGAAGATATGAATGTAAACAGTCAAGTAAACAGACTGCTTTTCTTTAGGTCAAGTAGAAGAACTAGGAGTTTTGATAATGGGGAACACAAGAAGAGTGATTTTGGAGAAGTATGTCTCCAAAGCAGTATGATCACTGTGAAATCAATTCACTGAGTTTCAACAAGACCTGCCCCCACCCTATACTGTGGATTGAACCCAAGGAGACTCTACCACTGAGCTATATTCCCAGTCCTTTTAATTTTTAATTTTGAGACAAGTTGTTCCCAAAGCGGGATTTAAACTTGGGATCCTTCCAAATGCTGAGATTAGTGCTTTTTTAATGAACTACAATAGAAAATTATCAAAATGTATTGGACACAGTAAAGGTACTCTGCCACCATTTTTGTTTTTTAAATTTATGTATTTACTACAGGGTCTACAGGGTCTATAGGCAACGGTAAATACCTCCACTTTGCTTACTTCACTATACTAATGAGGATCACATTAGGAAAACCCAAGTCATACCCAAGTTACAGCTGCCCTATTGTACACTGCATAAGTTAAACATCAAGAGAAAGAGTCCATACTGTTTCTTCAGAGAAAAGTAGCTGGGAAAGAGTATAAATACTAAAGCTAGCCATGTGGACATGTGTCTTAAGAGTAACATACATGATGTGAAAGTGAGCAAAGACAATACCGGAAATCTGAAAAAACAAAAAACACTAGTTTTGATGAAGTAAGATTTTCTAAGAGCTAAAAGAGAACAGAGTTTTGGAGAATGAGAGTGTTTTTCTTCACTTCTTAAAACAACTTCCCAAGGCCCAAACATGCTGTGAGTGTTACTCTTTATGCTAATTCAACACCAACTCCTACAGAAAGCAAACCGCATTCCTCAATCTCTATTATGTCTAAATATCTCAAGACTAAGTGTTCACACCTCTCACATGATGCAATATTTTAAGTTGGTATAAAATGTATCACCCAATATAAAGTTAGGAAAGGAAGTCTACTAGAAAGGAGGACGCACTAGTTTATTTATTTATTTTTTGCCTAAAAAGACGTGATTAAAATGAAGATCCAGCCAGCCAAAAGGCATGCACTGATCTTACCTCTTTATCTCTGTTAAGAAAGCTTATCTCACTGGGAGAACTGACTGCAGACCATTTTCAGCAGCTAGAAGTCATGGAAGGAACCAAACTATGTCACTGAATAGAATTCCAATTTTTCTCCTAACTTATCTGTTTAGTACCAGGGTTTAGGATACTTTCTTTCTCTACAAACTTCGTACAAGCAAATTCAAACTTTTCTCTTTCTAGGACTATAATTCCTTGAAGGGCAAAACAGTATTTGTTAATCAATAAATAGGATATATAAGAAATAAACAGGGCTGAGCATGGTAGTGCATGCATGTAACCACAGCACTTCAGAGCTGAGGCAGGAGAATTGTCATGAGTTTGATGCCAGTGTGGCTTACATAGTGAATTCAAGGCCAGCCTGAACTATATCATAAGATCCTATCTCAAAAAAACAAAACAAAACAAAAAAACCACAAGAAAAAAATAAATTAAATATATAGAAAAACTGGGGAGCAGGGAGATCACCATATCCATGCACAACACGGAAGTTACATACCTCTTGCAGTGTCAACAAAGTATTAAGGATAGCTGGTAGTGTAGTCTGGACAACTCCAAAACTATCTTCTGTAAATGACGCTGCTACTAAATGAGATAGACCTAAGGGGAAAAGATGAAAAAGTTAAAAGTGAATAAAAAACAGACAAATCTAGCTGCAATACATCTATTCAAGATCAATTCTCTAAACATAAAAGAGCTATTAGGAGGGAGAAAGTACAATATAAAATGGGTGAAAGATGGAGATAAGCACCTAAAAAGTGCTTAACTGAGTCGTTTATAAGGTGACAAAATCTCATTAACTCTAACAGGGGAAAATATTTATCACTGAACTATTATGGATGGTAGGAAGAAAATGCAGAGACACAGCTCTTAAGAGGACACATCATAGGAGGTGCAGAAACTCTTTCCCGAGTGTTTCTTAAGCACTGAGAAGGCAATATATACATGGCAAAAAGAAACAGCTCGAGGGCAGGCAAGATAGCTCAGCAGACTAAGTGCCTATTTAGGCAAGCACAGGGGCTGGGGTTAGATTCCTAGCACCACATGCCACACTGGCCCCACCCTGGCATGTGTTGGGCCTGTGATGGAGTTTGGGAGTGGTGGTGCATGCCTATAATCTCAGCGTTGGTGAGGCTGAAAACAGGAGGATCACTACTACTTGGAGCTGCATAGGGTGACCCTGACCAAAAAAAGAAAAAGCTCGTTAACTGCTGAACAGCTAGGGAGATGGCTCAGTAGAATAAGTGCTTGCCTGACAAGCACAAGGGCCTGAGTTTAATCCCCAGTTCTGCAAAAAAGAAAAAAAAGCTGAACTTTCACATGTAATACAAATTAGGGAAAATTAAAAACAATCTACCAGCTGCATATTTTTTAAAAAATCTATCCATCCATGGGGCTGGGGAGATGGCTCAGTAGGATAAGCGCTTGACTGGCAAACACAAGGGTCTGAGTTCAATCCCCGGTTCCGCAAAAAAAAAAAAAAAAAAAAAATCTATCCATCCATCCATCCATCCATCCATCCATTTGCTTGGTACAGGGTCTTACTATGCAGCTGGGACTCATAGTGATCCTCCTGTTTCAGCCTCCCCCGTGCTGGGATTACAAAACCAAGTTTCAGAGTTGGCACAGCGTACCTGAGGCTCTGGGACTGACATGGCATGCAACATGGGGGATCAAACCCAGGTCCTTGCACTTGCCAGGCAGGCGCTTAGACTGCTGAGCTATATCCCCAGCCCCTAGCTGCATAGTGTGAAGTATAGAAACATAAGGACAAATCTCAATTTTTCTGCACAGGAGAAATATTTTGCCCAAATCAATCAAAAATACAGATAGGAACATAGCTCAATATTTGTCTACTACTTGTGAGGTTCTGGAACCACCCCAATACTGCAAACAATCAAACAAGTAAGGCAAAATATTCAAACAGCTAAGAAAAATGATCTGTAAAAAACAAAGATACATTTCTTGGGGGAAAGCAGAGGAGTAAGACAGGAGACAGGGTCTTGCTATGTAGTCCAGGAGCGCCTTAAACTCATAGTGATCCCTCCTGCCTCAGACTCCCAAGTGCAGGGATTACAGGTGTGTACTACTGTGTGAGGCAACAAAGACAGAAAAACGTATCTGGACATACAAAGATTGAGACCAAACCCAAGAACAGACCATTCATGGACTTACAAAGTCATATTTACAATTCACAGAGATTGCTCACCTTCTAATGCCCAAATATGCATTTGGGCATCTGAAAAAACTGCCTGAATGGAGGCCTCTGGGTGCTACAAATAAAAATACTTAAGTAAGTTCCCTTGGGCAAAAACAAATTATCAACTAGAAACTACAACAACAAAAGTCATAGCTGCCTCTGAAGAATTTAAATCTGAAATATAATCTTACAAAATATAAACTACAATAAAGCCTTCTGCCATTAACTTACTGTGGCCCTTGCTCAAGTCTAAATCTGTATATGCCTCAGTTTCTCATTTAGATTAATAATTACATGTGCTCAACCCAACTGAGAATAGTAATAGAAACCACATTAACAGAATGGTTAAAAAGCTCATTTTACAATAAGAGAGCACTTAAATAAATATTACCTGTCTGTGTGTCTGTCTCTCTCTCTGTCTCTCTGTCTGTCTCTCTCTCTCTCTCTCTCTCTCTCTCTCTCTCTCTCTCTCTCTTTTTTAAGACAGGGTCTCACTATGTAGGTTCACGCTTGTCTTGAACTACGCAGCCCAGACTGGACTTGAACTTACAGTGATCACTCTGCCTCAGTTTCTCGAGTGCTGGAATTATAGGCATGCATCGCAATGCCTAACAATACTATTTATCTTAAACTGCCTATTTATTCTTAATTCCACTTGAAAACAAAACCTTCCCAACTTTCTTTAATATACCACTGGTTATTTAGGGTAGGGTAGAGTAGAGTAACAACTGACCCATTTAGTAAATGCTTGCTTTGATTATACACCTGATAAAATGATATATTTTTCAACATCAAATTACAATGTCTACAATTCATCATAGCACAGGTCTACAGTACAAAATCAGAATCAAAAGGAGCCACTGCAAGGGAAAAGTAGATTTTGGTTACCATCTGCTCTCTAATTTAACAGGATATATGCCTTAGGCTATTTAACCCCCTGCACCTCAGGTTTCTCTCTGTAAAATGGGGACCAAAAAGCATTTCTCACAAGAATGCTATTAGAATTAAATAAAAAAACAGTGAAAGATCATGGCACACATGTAAAACACCCAAGGCAAGTTTTCTTCCTCTCCTTCTGAAGCCAAGCAGTGAAGTAAAACTTCAGAGACGCTCATGCTCTTGGTGAAAGACAGGATACTTTTCCTAAAATGGGCAGCTGAAGCCAGACTACTTTTTGGTAACGCTATTTGGGCAGAGCTCCACTTCGACTGTAATGAAAAAGCAGTTTCAAGAACATGAAATAGGGGCCAGGGAGACAGCTCAGTAGAATAAGGCCAGCACAAGGGCCTGAGTTCAATCCCTGTTTCTGGAGAAAGAAAAAAAAAAAAAAAAAGAACATGAAATAATATACGTGTATCTGTATTCTATCAGGAGTACTCAAATTTCTTTCCCCACCTGACTATGATCCCTGAAGAATAGAAAAGAATGAATATCAATGTAAACTTTCACTTGAATGCATTACAGCGCTGCTGGTGTAGTGGTATCATGCAAGATTCCCACTTGAATGCATTAATCAAATGAATACAATATTAGCCCATTTGCTAATACTATAACGTCTGCAGAAAGAATGAAGTAAGATTTATTTTTTTAATTTTATTTGGGGGGGGGGCAGCTCAGCCCACCAGGGGGCGCGGCTGGCTGGCATGTGGTGCTGGGGGATTAAACCGTGGTCCCTGTGCTTTGCTTAGTTTAGCTTGTTCTAAGTAGGTGCTTTAGACCACTGAGCCATCTCACCAGCCCCTGAAGTAAGATTTAAAAGACTAAAAGTAAAAATTCTTCCCCCTACATATGGGCAAAGGTTTTCTTCATCAAAGGATTAATACAACAGATATGGCCAAGTAGAAACAGAAAAAAAATCTTTTCTTTAGCTTCTGCAGTTAAGACATTCTCCTCTGGCATCCAGAAGTGCTGCTAGACAAGATAGAAAAGTCCTTTCTTTTGAGACCTGAAATGCAACTTTCTGTCTACTGTATATCTAATGTGTCCTCTAATTCAGTCATCTCTTTTCTTTTATCTAATGTGTCCTGTAACTCAGCAAGTGGCCACAAAGATGTCAGGAAAATGAGCCAGAAAGCATCAGCAAGCAAAGAGTCATTCACCCACTCTAACACCAATGCAGCAGGAAGGAACTGTTGTTGAGAATCAGAACAAAGCTGCCAGAAGCCTAGTCTCAAGAGGCCAACTTCAGGGTGAAGCCTCAAGCAGCTGCTGTGGGGACATGAGAGGCAACCACTGTTTCCAGAGAGGTTTAATGAAGTGCTACACAAAGATATAGCACTAGCTGGGATTAATCTCTAAAACATTCACGAATCAGGTCCTCTCTCATACTTCACCTCCTATTTCACTTTCCTTTGATTCTCAAGGCTCTAACTTCATATTCTTACCTTATTGAAAAAATACATTATCAGCACCCGTTTTGACAAAAAATTCTTAATCTGAGTTGGAAAACAAACAAAAAATTACCATGTTTATATTTTGAATTCTATTCAAATATATTACACATTTCCAGGTTTATCCTGATTATTAACTTAAAGATATGGAAACGCACATCTTACACAAAGAATATTTACAACAATCTATGTAAGTGAATTCATTTGTACTGTAAATTAAATAACCAAGATGAGCCATACATAACCTAAATTGTACTGTGTTCCTATATACAAATTTAACACTCAACTAGATCTCTACCACAACTGAAAAATTCTTAAGTGTTCCAGTGATATTTGGTAAGACCATACTCTTTCTCAATTTTCTTCAGCAGTGTTGCCCACTAGCCCCCCTTTTTACCTGCAGTACTAGGAATTAAAGCCAGAGCTTAATACATCTAGGCAAGTGCTCTTCTACTGCATTATATCCCCAACCCATTAAAAAACAAATTATCATTTATTTTGAGGTAGATCTCATACTAAGTGGGCTGGCCCCAAGCTTGCAATCCTCCTGCCTCAGTCTCTTGAGTAGCTGGCATTATAGGCTTATGGCATGGTGACTGACTCTCTCTACCCTTTTAATACCAAAAACAAGTATGCTTCCCTTACTGGAAAAAAAAAAAAAAAAAAAAAAAACTTTTGAGAGATGAGGTATTTCCCTCCTAGTTGGTATTTCCAGGAAACAAAATTTTCTTACTTTTTTTTTTTTTTTAATGTATTTAGTACAAGGTCTACAGAGCCTCACTACACAGATTGGACTCGGAGTGATCCTCCTGTTTTCAGCCTCCCAAGGGCAGGGATTATAGGTAAGCACCACCACACCCAGTCTCAATCCCTCTCAGTGTGGCCTGGGGGTGGGGCTGGCACAAAAGGGATTGAACCCCGGCCACTGTGCTCTGCCTAAGCAGGTGCTTTAGTCTGTTGAGCATCTGGCCAGCCCCATGATTTTCTTACTATGAAGATGAAAGCTAACCCAACTGACTTAAAAGTGAATTCATTTCTGGCACATACTTTCACCTAAAGGCCACAGGCCTACTCAGGGATATATGAGATAGCAGTCTGGTTGCTACAAAAAGTGAAGAGGCAGGGCCAGCCTGATAGCTCAGCAGACTAAAGCACCTGCTTAGGCAGAGTGCAGCAGCCAGGGTTCAATCCCCAGAGTGTCACGCTGGCCCCACCCACGGGGCATGCTGAGACGGCCATTGAGACTGGGCATGATGGTGTGTGCCTGTAATCCCAGCACTTGGGAGGCTGAAAACAGGAGAATCACTAAGTCTGACCTATGTAGTGAGACCCTGTAGACCCTGTCCTAAATACAAAAAAAAAAAAGAAAAGAAAAAGTCATGAGGCAATACTTAATGACATATAGAATAGTCTAAAAAAATGTCTTTAGTTATTGCCTCAATACATTTTTTTTTTTTTGGTGGAACTGGGGATTGAACTCAGGCCCTTAGCACTTATTCTACTGAGCTATCTCCCTGACCTACTGTTTCAATACTAACCAGTAAACAATTTCTCCCATTTAAAAAAATACAACTAACCCTTCAAAACGTCTTCTTCATGGGGGCTTGCCAGTTAGCTCAGATGCTTAAAGTGCCACTTGGGCAAAATGTCTTCAACCCTTCAAACCCCCTCAAGTCCCATTACTCTGCTTACAGCAAAATTCCTTGAAAAACTGACTGTTGTAGCTGTCCCTAGTTCCTGAGCCCATGCCAAGCAGCCTTCCATCTGCCTCCCTGCACCCAGTGGCTCACTGAAGGACGCAGTGGCCTGCACATTTGTAACGTCACAATTAATGCTTAGATTGCACCTCACGCTGCCTGAAGCTGCATCTGATGCAGCTTTTCCTTCTGGAAACACTTCCTTTTCTCAGCACTTGGCCATCTGAAAGGCCACTCCTCAGTGTCCTCTACTATTCTATTCCTCCTCCTCTTCCACAACTCTGGTCATTGCAGGGCTTCTTCCAGGACATCTTTTTCTTCTACATCTACACTCAAGAGTTTGTATTAGGTTTTGCTGCTTTAAAAGCTGCCAATTGTACTCTAACGACTTCCAAATGTACATTTTTGTAGCCTAGCACTTGCCATATGCCATCTGTCATATTCTTATTAGTATTTTCACTTGGTTGTCTAATAGGATTCTTAAAGCTGTCATGTTCAAAATCAAACTCCTGATTTCCCCTTCCTCACTTCACTTCTATCAAAAATCTCCTACAGAATCATCAGTAAATCATCTCAATTACAAATTATCCCTCCTCCTAAGGCCAAAAGTCTTAGTCAATACCAACTCCCTTACACACTACAAGCAAATTTATTAGGAAATCCTGTTATACTACCTGAAAATGTACATCCAGATCTCAGAGGCATCTAACAACTCTTCCACCCCCTCTGGTCACAGGTACCACCACGTCCCACTCTTCTCCACTAGACTTAAGTTTCTTCTTCTACTCCTGCCTAGGACTAAGACCCACATTCTGCAGAGTCTAGACTTACTCTAGCAACTAGAGCAGCACTTTAAAAATGTAAGTTATTATCATGTTGTTATTCTTCCACACAAAACTACACAGTGTCTGTTGATAGTAAAGAAGAGGCCATGGGGCCGGGGAGATGGCTCAGTAGGATAAGCACTTGGCTGGCAAACACAAGGATCTGAGTTCAATCCCCAGTTCCGCAAAAAAAAAAAAAAAAAAAAAAAAGAAGCCAGCCTTGACAACTTTTAATGGCCCAGTGAGCCAAGTGCCTGCTACCTCTCCAATCTTATCACTCACCTACACTCCTTTCTCCCTCACTCCGCTGCAATCACCCTGGTGTCCTAGCCCCTTAAGCCCAGTACATTCCTATATCGGGGTCTTTGCACAGGGCTGTCCACTGCCCTCCCTTCAGACATCTGATCAACCATCACCTTTTCCATAAGACCTCCCTGATCAGTCTATATAAAACACTCCTCTTTCCCCTGGATACTGTTACCTGTCCTATTTGCCTATTTAACCTAAACATATCAGATTTCTTTCAAGCATATTTTTCTTGTCTTATACATGACCTATCAGGATACATCATGAGGCTATAGTCTTTCTTTCTTTCTTTCTTTTTTTTTTGTGGAACCAGGGATTGAACTCAGACCCTTGCACTCACCAGGGAATACAGTCTCTCTTAATAGTACATAAAATATAGGGTAGGGATGTTGCTCAATGGTAGAGCTCTTGCCTAGCAAATGTGAAGCCCTGGGTTTAATCCCCAGTAGTAGGAAATAAAAAAGTACCTGAAGCATTTCTTACATTAATCCAATTAATGGTATTCTATATTTCAAAGAAATACAGTACAGTATAATATATTTATTTACTCATCTATTCCCCACTAGGATATAAACACATGTGTAAGGCTTTGTTTTATTTCTGTGCCTAAAACAGAACACTGCACATACAAAAAATTCTTTTTTGTTTTTTGAGACAGGTTTACATAGTAGCTCAAGCTGGCCTCCAACTGGTAACCATCCTGCCTCAGCCTCTCAAATGTTGATATTATAGGTGTGTGCCACCATATCTGACTCAAACATTTATTAAATCAACAAATGCAGAGATAAAAGGAACCCTGTTAGGTTAAACCATATAAAACTCAAAACCAGTCAAACACTGGTGATGTGTTGGGCCAACTAGATACACGAAGCACCACCAACAAAATTCCTGATGACTGATCCATGTGAGATCTTTAATGCTCTCAATGTCACATGTAAATGTAAATCATATATATATATATATATATATATTCCTACCTGTTCACGTTTATGCTGAATCCATGAATGAATCACACTGGGCTGTCTCACTGTCTTACCCTCAGCATTATTAAAAGAAGTATATGGAGAAGGATTAGAAAATTCAGACATCTGCTGACCTATTAAAAAAAAAAAAAAAAAAAGTGAAGCGAGGTAAGACCCTAAGTTGTCCGATTCCCTAAAACTGTAAGATTTCAGTTTTAGAAATCAAACAGTCCTCACCAGAAACAGAAGTCCATAGTCTTGGCGCTCTTCTAATCAGCTGAGGACTCTGTGGCAATCCATAGCAGGTGTTTCCATCAAAAATTCCAGCTACTCGCTTCACCACACTGGAGCCAAAAGGGGTTCCAAAAGGACTGGAGCCATCCGGTGTTTTTGCTGTGACAGAACAGAGCCAGCACTGAAGCAATGTGACCAAGGATAGGAGCATGAGGGCTCTATCCCATTTTTCTGTTTACCTCATTTACTCCATTTACTCAAAGCTTGGTGGATTATTTAATGTAGGTCTGTGTTCCCAGGGTCTACATTTTATTTTCCCCAATCAGTGATCACTTAAGGAGCTTTCCATATGGTCTTCTGTCAAACTAGTGCAGCCTCATTTGCTTTTCTTGCCCTTCATGAATCTGTTTATCTTAAATTTCTCTTAAGCTGTTCAACAACTCACAATTTACTTTTATTTATTTATTTATTTTGTATTTAAGGAGAGGGACTATAGGATGTTCAGGGTCTCACGACTAGATCGGACTTGTAGTGATCCGCCTGTTTACAGCCTCCCAAGAGCTGGGATTACAGGTGCGTACCACCACACCCAGTCTCAACTGCCAATTTGGCCGGCCCTCACAATTTACTTTTAAATAGCAACAACTTTAATTATTGCATTAGAATTTTCCAGTTTTAGGCACAGCCAAATAGCTCAGCGGATTAAAGAGCCTACTTAGGCAAACACAGGGGTGGAAGTTTGGAGTTCGATTCCGGGCCTGCTGTGCTGAGATTGAGATTGGGCATGAGGGTGCACACCTATAATCCCAGCACTTGGGAGGCTATAAATAGGAGAATCACTAGAGTCCAATCTATGCAGGGAGACCCTGTAGACCCTGCCCTAAATATAAAAAATAAAAAAATAAAAAAAAATTCCAGTTTTACTGGATGTTCCTGCCATAACTATTACTCAGCCAAGTATGTCCTACTTAGGCTGTGAGGATGAACAGGGAAAAGGTGCGAACATTTTCTCAAAGTTCTTTCAATTTAACAAAAGTTACACCAAAGATTAATCTACCCAGGACATCTCTAAATCTGCCCTGTGAAAGCTTCTTTAAAAAGTATCTTAAGGGGCTGGTGAAATGGCTCAGTGGTCTAAAGCACCTACTTAGAACAAGATTGGCAGAGCACAGGGACCA